TTCCAAATTGCTTTTTATAAATATATCTCTACCTTTTGCTGTTACGTAGCGTAGAGGTGGAGATTAGAATAGGACACTTAATTACAGCAACAGGGGACATGTGGCAGAAACACAAAACCCTGTTTAAGTTCCCCTTCCTCCCTGGGGCAGGGTATGAGAAATAGTTCATGGTCCTTTTGAAACAAACAAACAAACAAAAAAAAATTAAAAAAGAGTACTTTCATTGAATAACCAACATCGTGGTCCTGACCTCTGCAGCAAAAAGGCTTTTGCATACTGCTTCCAAAGAGAGCAGGCAGGCTCCAATTTTGCTGAGCAAAACACACCTTTCTTTTCTTTCCTTGAGGGGAGTAGGGGGTTGACTTCTGGAGGACATGGGGGGGTGCAGCCAAAGACTCTGATTCTTGTTCTTAAGTTTGCCCTTGTCTGAGAAGCATCCAGAACAAATATGTGCTTGCATGTTGTATGCATTCATAGGCTTTAGTTGAATTGTAAAGCAGTACTCTAAACATTAAACTATGCTTTTACAATAGCCATGATTCCAGATTTATTTGTTTTGCATCATTCGTGATTCTGTGCACAAAATTCTTGCTAAGTTCTTTATTGTGTGCTTTGTAAGTAGGTCTTTCTGTTTGAAAGTTTTAATTATCACCCACTGACTTTGGTTACAATGGCAACAGAACAGTAAAACTTTACAGCGAAGATTTAACTAGAGAGTCTGTGGCTTGGAATGCCTTTATTAAGTTTTAGAAACAGAGCTGGTAAGTATCAGTTTTACTTCTTAGCTGCTCACCAAAAAATAGTACAAACTTGAGACTGTTTTACCTTCCTGAAAAATCACTCTGTTTTTCAGCATATAATATGTATCTCATGCTCAGTTCTTTCTTTGGGTGCCTTATATTGGTTTATTGATAGGTTTTAGTGGAGAAAAATTGTGAACTGTAACTCCTTCACCCTGTTGCTTTTTATAAAAGCTCTGGAGACTGTAAATTGTTCACATGTTCTACTGGAGGATTGCAAAAGTAACATTCATTTATAACATTTGAAGGATTATTCATGGAAAAATTATGCAAAGGAAAAAACAGTGAGATCCTCTGGGATATGTGTAAACTTTTCCAAATGTTCCTGCCCCAGATCTCTGAACAGCACTCAGCTCGCTCTGATGAAGTTGTCTCACGTTCCCTAACGCAAACAAATCTTTAATAATGTTTTAATATTTTTATACATTATTTTTGTGCATGTCAGCATAGTCTTGAAAATGATGCTGAGAAATAATGAAAACCAAACTAACCCTTGTTCATGCCAGCTGACTGGAAAATCCTGCTAAGAGTGCTTTGTCTCCATGAAAGGCAAAATAACAGAATAGCAATCATGGTAACAGTATGCACTAGGAGTGGAGCCAGGAGAGTAAAGAGGAGAGTTAGCAGTAGCAGATGACTTCACTTATTGGAAAAAAAGGGGCAAAATAACTCAATCTCAAATGAATTTAAATATTGGAATTTTGTTATCAGCGGTATCAAGCATAGCTTCCCCAGCTAATTGCTCAGCAGTCTGGTATGTCCATAAGTATCTCACCACTTACCCTCTTTGGCATCCTTCTTGGCACAGGCTCTCTTATCTCTTACCCCTTTACAGAAATTAGGTCATCTCCCCTGAGCCCCATAACTCATGCTGACACCCTCTGCACCCCAGGCTTCTTGCTGAACTGAATGTGCCCTGCAGCACAGGTCCTGTCTAACAAGAACTCTGAACTTCACAGTTCTTCATGGACATCTGACAGCAGTGCAGATGCAAGGACTTTGTAAAGGTTCTAAGCTCAGATTCCTTTTACCTTATTGCAGGCTTAACAGAGCCAAACTAGCACAGGGTTAACACAGCCAAACTGTACATATTCCACTCTCTTGCCTTGGAGATGTGGAAGATACTGAACTACATACAAAATGGCCACTCCAGATAGAGTAATACCAGCATTGCTGATATTTCTATCTTTATCTTATCCCACAAAGCATTCTGTTTCCTGCCGTTGTTATCTTCCTTAAAGGCACTTAACTAGAAATTAGAGTAAGTCCATTACCTTCTTTCACAGGACTGATGCAAGAAATTGTAATCATGATTTATCACAAGAAAGCCAGGCTGGAACTGTTGGCTTAAGTTGTAAGGCTCCAATACCTATTTCCACAAATTCTGTCAGCCTTGACATGTGTCACCTTAGCCAGGCAGAATTTTAACCTGAAGTCTGAATGTGTAATCTTACTTTCCGAGATACACAGATATGCTTTTATTGGTAGACATCAAATTAATTGAACAGTCCTACTGCTTTCAGCTCTGTGACTCTCCATGGTGACAAACCTTTAAACTGTTATGTATTAGAAAATTTAGCAGTTATTTTTACATGTGGCATGTCTGTGTGAAAAAGCACTGCACCATACTGGTACTCATTTAGGGCTGTGCCTTGAGATTGCTACTCTTTCACAGGCTGTACTTTCAACAGTTTGTTAAACACAACGTTTCAGTAGCTCTCTGTGAACTATGTCATCCACTTAGAAGAACTTAATATAAATCAGGATTTAATACTGGCACCAGAGAGACAGAGCTGAATGACACAACAGGAAGCAGTAGAAAACTGAACAAATCTTGCAGCCAAATTAAGGGACAAGCAGTGATTTAATGTGTTGCAAGGTGTGATGGTAACTTTAAAGCGGCCACATTAACACTGAAGTTTATGCTGAGTTTCAGACTAAACTCTTGCTGATACATGCTCATAATTTTCAGCAAAACTCTGTTTCAGCTGCCACTATCTTCATCTTGGGTCTCAGTTCCAATATATTTTTAAGCTTCTTAGCAGGTAGTAAACACCTCAGTAGTCCTAAGTATTTTACTGTTCACAAGTTGAAAAATATCTGATGGAAAGGCACTACTTTTTTATATTCTAACTTGCGCTTCGCCTCCACAGCAGAAGAGGAAGGTGAACCCTATTTTTTCTTGAGAAAAAGCTTCCAGTATTGTCTTACAGCCCAAAATTTCAGGGTTTGAAAATGAAGCAGAGAACTGTACTCATCCCTCTTCCAAACTGCCAGGCGTATGGTTCTGGTTGAGTCTCTGGACCATGTAATGATTTTAAACTGCATTTGGCCTTTAAGCAGAAGACCTTCTCCGCAGCCACATGTGCCAGTGACTCATGATACTGCTGTCATGTTTCACAAATTCTCAACTGTGTGATGGAAGCAAAGACAGGCAGGCAAAAATGCTGCCTTGCATGAGATGGGATATATGAATAAGGTAGAAAACAGGATTACAAACTATTGTTCTCCCACTAAATTGATGATCTTATGTATGATATTACTGAAGGTTCCTCTAATGAACCCATTTTCCCTCTCTATTGCTAGAAGCATTTTACTCTTTCTGCTTGTCTTGAGGCTCCTTTCATTGTTAATTAAACAGCACAATGAATGATTTGCTCAAATCTGCAGAACACTGTGTGGATGAGATTTTTCTCCTTCCTGCTAGGGAAAAACCTTTGCAGTTCTTCATAGTAATGACCCAGTTCATAGTGGAATTCCCGAGTCTAGGCTGTGGGGAAATAAAAATAGAAGTAATGTGGAATTGAGTCCAGTGTTTCATGCAACTTGATCTAAGTTTGTATTATTTTTTGCCTCTTATTAGGACAAACTCATTACTGGTTCTTCCATTTCTTTTTGTGTCTCATGAATCCTCAGCTCAAGGCAGAAGAAATAGATTAATAACTTTTGTGCTCGGGGAGAGATGGCATGGCCTATATAACAGGTAGAATTAGAGAGTATCTCCAGTTGGAAGGAACCCATAAGGATCATTGAGTCCAACTCCCTGCTTCTTGCAGGACTACCTAAAACTAAATTCTGTTATTAAGAGTGTTGTCCAGATGCTTCTTATACTCTGACACACTTTGTGCCGTGACCACTTCCCTGGGGAGCCTGTTCCAGTGACCAACCACCGTCTCAGAACCAGGTGGCCTGATTTGAGGCCAGACATTTTGTAAGGATTTTGATGATAGTTATATGTGGTTTTTCAGATCACAAAGTTCCTGTCTGTGTTGACCTCTTAATGGGTGGTTTTAGGTTAGAGGCCAGAAGCTGACTAAGCTGAGGTCACTGGAGCCTCCAAGACGCGGTTCCTGTAACACAGGGGGAAATCTGTTTTGCTGCTACCTGAGCTGTACCAAGTCTGGAGAGAGATACGGGGCAAATGGCCAGTTCATGACCGTTATTCCCACTTCTTTCACAAGCACCAATGCCACAACTAAATGTTTAAAAGTGAAGTCTCAGCTGTTTATTGTGAAGCTAAGAATAGCCTTGCATTCACTGAGGATGATAGGCCATGTTGTTCTTCGCTGTACTGCAACGTTCACTGCCAGCCTTTTGCGAACAGCGTCAAGGAACTGGAACAGGGAACAGCTTGTCCGTGTTTTCCATGAGGCCTCATAAAGTCTGTAAAATGAGAGGAAGAATAATTGCAGTGAGACATCTCTAGAGCTCAGAGATGATTGAGAAGTAATGCATCTGTCTGGCCATTAGATACATGAAAAGCCCCTGCTTTCTCTTACATGCTCAAGCTGTGAGTCAGGATGAGCAGATTGTTTACAGTTTATTCACAACATGGAGTTGTGAACAAAATTCAAAACATGTGTGAGCATTCCTGCTCACACCCGAAGTACAAACTGACTTTATGGCTCTGCATATTACATTTTGGCACATCCAGCTGTTGTAAGGGTGCCAAGACTTTTTGTAGGAGTTCATTGTTAAAAGTATGTGCAAAGCTGTTTCAAAAATTACTTCCAGAGAGCTCAAGATTATAGAGATGAATTCATATGAGAAATGGATGGTGTAACCCTAATGCGCAACAACCAGTTCAGAAATGGTGCCTTCTGGTTATCTGTAACAATTCATTTTAATCAGTAGCTGAACACACCAGCCCATGAGATTTCTTAGGTTTGCATCTGTTCAGTGTTAAATGGTGTCTTCTAGGTCCATCTGATGTGTCGGCAATTATGAAATTTGGCAGAAGACCCACGTGTCCTGATGCTTCAGTGTCAGCAAGTCTACCTACACCTCCTGTACCAAGGCACAGGAAGAGCCATAGCCTGGGAAACAAGTGAGTACTCTGGGGTGGCTCATGCTCAGGCCACTGCATGCATCACAAGGGTTTAAGCTAGCAGCAGTGTTTGAGAACACTTTGGATTTGTCTGTTCCATTTCACATTTTTCAAGAGTGCTTCAGGCTTTTCTGTGTATTCTCTAGGTTTTCTCTTGACACTTTGTTATTTTTACTGACTGTTCTCTGCTAGTGCCAGACATCGGCACTACTTGAAAGCTGTGTATCCACTTTGTCTGTAGATCCCTGGTGTGCATAACTGCTTGGGTTTTTTCTTTTGTTCAAACATCTGGCTAATACATCTAGGGAATCCTACTAGCTCCTTTGCACACTTCTGCAGGGAAGTTGCGACCTTTTGTACTGTTTTACCTGGGTAGTCTGGATTAGAAACATTTTTCTCTACCATGTTCCCAGCTCAGCAAGAGCACTGCCTCCCCAGTTAAGGTTTCTGCATCTACCAAATTTCATAATTAATGGGTTATGGAAAAAAAAGTTCCTGTGACTTGTCCAAGGTCACAGAGTGTTGATGTGTTAGCTCAGCTTAGTGTGAAAGACCACTAAACAGTGGCTTATCTGGGGTCTGCTTTTTCCTGGTTTTCTACCTTTGCCCTCACCCAGGGTGTTCAGGTTTTATATGGAGGGGAGTCAAAAGACTTAAATCTTTCCCATCTGCAGAGATTTCATAATTGTTACTTTCAAAAACCACTAAAATCTGAAACTTGTTATGGTGGTCAAGGAGCAGATGTACAGCAGGGAAGTGTGAGCGGTGCGTTTAATTGCCTGCTACTTCATAGCCTGTTGATAAAGCACAGTCTGAGTGGAAATACCAGGATCCAAGAGCTGCTATTAGATGACATAAGAGGGGTTTTGAATTTTTCTCTTTCCAATTTTCCAGCATGATGTGTCAGTTCAGTGTAGTGGAGAGCAAAAGCGCCACCTTCCCGACGGAGAAGCCGCGGCACCTCCTGGATGACAGCGTCCTGGAGTCCCACAGCCCAGCCCGCGGCCACGCATCCAACTCGCATTTCACCAACGGCCTGTCCATAGGTAGAGTCTGAGGGGGGGACTGGCATTCCTGCTTTTCTGTCCCACAGAAGTAGGAAATTAGGAATGTCATTAGCTCCTGTGCAAAGACTGGCCCCTTTCATGAAAGAATGTAGATCAGGGTGCCTATTCAAAGAGACATGAAGGAAGATTGTCTCTTTGTGTATACTCTGGATTTGACACAGTCTTTGTCAGCTTTCAGCAGGGGAAAAAAAAAAGGGCTACTGAAAAGTGGATTTAGATTTTGAGCACTCCCTTTTTACAAAGAAAAATTCAATTTTAACAGATTTTAGAATATTGGAGAACAGTTCAGCTGTGCTGAGACTTCAAAAGAAACAGAAAAGGAACTTGTGAAAGAGAATTATGACAATTATGGTATTATAATTAATAAAATAATAATAAAAATCAAAGTGATCCAGAATCTTAAGTTCTAAAGAGAAAGGCACTTTTTAAGTGGCTTGGGCTCTTTCTGGAATAGGAAGTAGACTCTGAAGGATAGCAGGTAACTTGATTAAGAAGAGTTCAGCACAGATGATCTTTGAACTTCTGAAAACACATACACAGCTCACTGTTACACTGAGCATTAGAAGATCAGTCCTGAGCAAATTAAAACTGTGAGCTGAATAGCTGAGCCAGGGAAGGAGGGACAAATTAGTCATATGGTTGGAGGAGAAATGGGAACTGTTGTTGGGAGTGCCATCATACTGATTCGTTACAGCTTCCAGCAGCAGTATGGAGCTGGCAACTCGTCTGTTACAGGTGTGCTTGCTTGTTGAACAATGATATCATGTCTAATAACTTTAATTGCCTTAACAGATGTGGTAGAAATATTGTCTTGTAAGTGGATTTTGTGTTCCTGAAGTGCTCACCTGTGGAAGGAAAAGCAGCGTAATGAAAATTAAAGAAACATGTAGATGTCTAATATTTAAACACAGCAGTAACAGTTACTTCGTTCATCAGTGATACAATAGTCTCATTATAAATGGGAAGGCTCCTGTAAGCTTCTTCCAATTTTAGATTTTACTGCAAACTCCAAAATCATCAACTTTGAAATGTGATTTCAGTAAGCAGTTTCCATGGTACCAGATACAAAGATTATTCTGGTGATGCACACAGACTGGCTTTGTATTTTCCCTTGAGTGATTTTCTTACTCCTTCTCTTTACTACTCTTTTTCTAGATAGCAGTGAAAGCTCAGAATTCAGCGAGGAGCTGCCGTCAGGGCTTGAAAGGTGAGTCAGTCTTCATGTACACTCAGCACTCTACAAACTTAGCTAAGAAATTCATAAATGATCCCTAACATAGGTAAGCCCTAAATCAATAGTTACTGTTACCAAATCATTGATTAGTTAGGGGCAAAAATACCCACCAAATTTTCCGGTTTAAAGCACTGTAAAGTTACTGTGTTTTCCTTCCCATGGACCTGAAAAGATTGGGAACTCTCTTTGTCACATTTACCAAACCCCTGAACTGTTGAAGTCTCAGACTAGAATTTTCCTCATCAGATATTTGCATTCACAAACAGGGGTCGTTTATATGCCACGCTGGGGCCTAACTGGAGGGTACCGATGCGGAATTCTCCTAGGAGTCGAAGCTGTGTCTACAGGTACAGTTCAGGGTCTACCTCGCTTAGTGTACGGTGCTAAACTTCCACTTGGGTCTCTACGCTTTTCTAGCGTAATGTATTTTGTGTCCAAAAGTATCCTTGTATGACCATATCAATTCATGGGAGTCCTCATCTCCTATTAATGCTGAAGCAAAGGAGTGGCCCATTCAGATGAAATTGAGTTTAGCTGTTGATTTAACCAGGTATATTTGGCTTCTGTATTGCAGAAAACTCACGTTTACTTCAGGGTTTGTGACATTACAGGAGTAGTTTTGTCATAAAGGCCATCTTTACCTCCTGTGACAAATAATGATGTTAGAAGGATACCTTCTTGATCCTTTCTCACAGTTTATTTCCTGCTTTGCAGGACAGTTACCCGTAACATCTGTTTGTGTCAGAGAGCTATAGTATGATGTGTTGATTTTGTACAATAAAGAGGTGTTACCTTGGACCCCGAGTAGGAGAGTGCATATGCAATGCCATATGTAGCAGGCACTCCCAGTGTTGCTTGTCACCGAAACATGGACTTTTCAGAAACAGATAATCCATTTACAGGCCAAAGAGAGGTGACATGGAAAACTATATAGTTAGAGGGATAAGAATCATTCATTGTATCCATACCTGACCTGGACTTCATAAATCCTGTGGTAGTGGGAAGTGAAGAAGTATACATGAACAGTAAAGAAAACAGGCCCCTTAAACAGTATTGTGGAAATAATGAGATTTATTTGGGAGTTCAAATCCAGCCAGTTTTTATTTTGTATAAATTAGTTTGCTTCAGCTGTTGTAGAAATGTTGATATAATGCGTAAATGTAAGTACAGTCATTTTGCTTGAGCTAGTAACATCTGATAGCAGCACAAGTTAGAAGTTAGTAATAAAAGTGCATACATTATAAGTAAGTAAAGGAATACGTTTGGAACAGTATTTCTTCTATTACACCTGCTTCTAGAAACTATTACACCTGCTTCTAGAAAATACTCACTGTGCCCATTCTAGATTTGTTTCATAAAGGTACACAAGCTAGAAATATAAAATGTAGGAGGACAAAAATGTGAAAAGCCTGTTAAAGCCACAAAGAAGAATTACTCCCTAAAATACGTTTCTGATGTTTATCCACCATCAAGTAATTCACATGCTTGCATTCATTCTTCCTTTTCTGGAATCTTCTACTGCTGGAATTGGCAAGATACACATCAGCACAGCGCATGTTTATATGAGGCAATCATACTTGTTCACAGACAGAACAGTGTTCCGTTCACAACTGAATGGTAGAATGTACACATGTCCTTTTCCTTGTATTCGTTATTAGACATTAGAATAATTAGAATTAGGTGGTAAACTTCACTGGCCCTCATAAGAGTATCAGGGCTGTGATCACTTGGCAGTGAAAAGAGATTAGCAGCAGCTAATTCTAGCAGATCAACACCTGCCAGTCAGTCTTTGGTTGTTACCTTCTCAATGGCTGTTTACATCTCTAATGTAGCCTGTGCTTGGGTTCTTTCAGCTGTAGCACTTTTTCACTGTGGTGTGTAGGGAAGCTCTGTGTTCATCCTGGAAAAGCAAACAATATTTTAATCACAATAAATTATTTGGCAGTTTTACATCGTTTTCGCAGCCTTCTCCCAGTTAGCCAAGGTAGTTTTCTACATTCTTTTTTGGTAGCTAAAGTTTATTTTAAGATAAAACTACATTTGTGAGCACTCTTACTGAAAAATTGTAAGCAATAAATTCCCAGAAATCCAGGTAATTTCTGTAATTTGCCAGAATAAAATAGAAAATTTCCTGTTTTCCCTTTGATGAGTTGTTTTTCAAAGATCCTTGTTCCTACTTGGTATCTGGATCTGGAAAATATATAGAGTCAAGCATCAGATGATACAATATAGGTAAGGCAATGCAGGAAAAAATGTATTTAGAGCTAAATTATATTGCCTGCTTCTTGTCTTTACTTGTCTGATCAAATACATATGACAGTGTTTTGTCTCTCCAGCCCAACAGGGGCCTGCAGCTGCACATTAGGTAGTTCCCTAGGAGTCATTACCATGGAAGGGCCATTAAGAAGAAAAACATTGCTCAAAGAAGGCAAGAAACCTACGGTAAGTAATTCTAACTCTTTCTGTGATTGTAATTCAGTAGTGATTGTTTTACAGATTAAACCTGCAGTTTGACACCACACAAAATGATGCTCTTTGTTATTATCAATTATAAAATCATTTTCTGTTCAAAGTCTTAGCTGGGTTAAAACAATGTTGGAACCTTTGTATGTCATTTGTTCTACAGCAGCTTTCCTTCTCCCTGCATTTGCCAGTAATGTCTTGAGTTATGACAGCAGAGCAAGAGTAAAGCCGCTTTATAAATCAGTATGCATTCCTGTGAGGGCTGAAATTTAGTATGGTGGTGAAATGGAAGTGCTGCAGGGCATGTACCCATAGCACCAAAGACATGGTAATTCACACTTAACCTACATTCACAGGTTTCACATGGTTCTAGTACTGTTCATTTGGAAATTTCTTTGTTTTCTGTAGAGTTCATTGATATTTTCTATCTGCAACCCTAGTGCTTAGTGCCAAAAGGTGTGGAGAATCGCAGAGATGTCATCCCAGTAATTTTTAATGATCAAATGCAGAAGTCTTAAGATCTGGCCAGTAGAAGGCAGCACACTATTTTCCTGTGAAGCAATCCTGGTATTTTTAGGAGATACCTGAGAAAAATGGATTCTGCTCACAGCCAGCCACCCAAATGTAGGTAGCTGGGCTGATTTATGCCAGGAGACGTTTTTTATCTAGCTCTCCATTCCTTGCTTCTGAAATTAATTTTGGTGGCACTTGGACTTGCTTGTGAATAGACTTCTGAAATGTTAGAGATACGCTGTGATTTTCCTCATTTTTTTCCTTTCTGATTCAGCTCTCCTCATGGATGAGATACTGGGTTATGCTTTCAGGATCAACTCTTCTGTACTTTGGAGCAAAATCTTTAAGAGGCACTGAAAGAAAACATGTAAGCTTTATATTTATTCTAAACCCCAAAATTGCATATTCATAAGCCAACCTGGATGGGTGGTTGAAGCGTACTTGCTGTTCCAGGCTAAGCCATATGTCTGCACAACTTTTACAGTCAAAAGTTAATCACTACTGCCTCAGCTGTGATTGACTTGTCTTCTCTTCCAGTATAAATCTACACCTGGTAAAAAAGTCTCCATAGTGGGCTGGATGGTGGCACTTCCTGACGACCCTGAGCATCCTGATATTTTCCAGCTAAATAATCCTGACAAAGGTAGGTGTTGCAGGATGGATGTTGTCTGCACTATATTTCTGTGACAGAAAGTAGACTGATCTGTTAATGAGTTTGCAGGTTACAGAACTTGCAGTGGCAAGTTAAAAAGACTGAGGAGGGAGATTTTCAGTACAGAATTTTCAAGGGAGGGTACAAATGAAATTGAACACATTTCTACACTATGCTGTTGTGCTCCTATGGTGCCAACAGAGGTGTTGCTGTATCTTAACAATTACAGTTTCAGAGAAATTACCCAACCAGTATGAGATTGCTGCATGTACATGTGCTCACTTACCCTGTTGTCTGTTTCTGTATAGCTTTCGTAAAGTCGGTCAATACCAAAATTTGACTTACACTGAGGCCAATTAAAATACCATGAAAATTCTCCAAACATTAAACCATTTATTTTTTAAAAAGCCTTTGAAGTAATTATTAATTAGTTTTTAATAAATAATTTTGAAGTGCCATAACTCTACCAACTTGATTAAACTTCAGAAATTCAAAAGACCTGAAAGCCCTTGGAGTTATTTTGAGGGTTCCTTCACTTTTCACATTTTCAGCTTTGGTGCTGGCCATGGATTTGTATCTACTGTACAAAGTGCATCTTTTGGGTGTTGACTAAAATGCACAAAGTGTTTGATTGTAAAGTATTTACAACATAACCAGGCATAGAGGAAACTCACAATAGGACTTTGACGAAAGCTAAGTTCAGAGGTATCAGGAACATTCAAAACAAGTTTGGCAGTAACCACAACAGTCAATGAGAAGAAAGCCAGGAGTAAATTAGATGTGACCTAAGTGATCTTTTCTGTGGCTGTATTTGGCCTCTCTGCCTATGCGCTCCTCTTAGCTTTGCAGGCCACACATGTTCTCATACTCCCTTCGCTCGGGGACTGTTGGATAACATACCTCACATTGGCTGTAATATATGAGCAAATTAGTTTATGTTTACTTCAGGACTTTGGCTCCTGCACAGAAATTAGAATCCCTTCAAAACTCCATGTCTCTGCAAATGTAGAGCCTTTGATTTTCTTTTGTTTTTTTGTAGGCAATGTTTACAAGTTCCAGACTGGCTCAAGGTTTCATGCAATATTATGGCATAAGCATTTGGATGATGCATGTAAAAGCCACAAGCCTCAGGTAATGTTTTAAAACTTATTTCTACCAACTTTGTCATATTTTCCATAAGATCCTTACTAGAAAAGATGCCTCTTTTCAGTCTGTGTGCACACACTGTCCTGTGGGGACAGACAGAATTCCTCATTTTGCATATTGGTCCAATTTTTCAGTAGGAGGAATTAAAAATATCTAAAACGACGTAATTCTAACCAAATCAGGAATTGTGCAGGTCTAGCTATAGGTTTAGTTATCTAAACAGCATGTAACATTTACAGTTAACTGCTTCAAGTGAGGTTGAAGCTCCCCTTCAGAAGGGACAAAGAAAGCATGCTAGCATTCACTGCAGTGCCTGGGTCTATAAGTGCCATTGAAGAGAGTGCCCTATAAAACACCATCTTTGTTCTTTATATAGCAGCCTGTCATGGTTTAACCCCACCCAGACGTGATTTAAACCCAGACAGACAGCCTCATTCTTCTCTTGAGGAAATGTTCATTCTTAAAGGGATTTCCAGACGTTTATGTTAATAGGATGCTGATCCATATAGGACCTAAAACAGGATGCAGCTCAAGAAACTTCTTAAAACAAACATACACATCCCCACACACACACTGATGATTTCTTAGAATACTTCTGTTGGATTTGGTCCATGAATAGAAAAATCATTTGAGTCTTTATCTTTCAGTTTGGGGTTCACCCTCTTTTGGGCCTGCTGTGCACTGATCACACTTTTCACATTGGATAAGAAACGATCAGCTAACTTTGTTGTGTAACCTTGAGGTTTCCCAAGCCTCAGGAGCATTATACTGCTGAATAATTCGCATTCTTTTCCAGGTACCTGCTAATCTAATGTCATTTGAATAATTTGCTCTCCTACCTGGTGCGACTTCAAGTGCCAAACTGAAGAAACGGGCTGTTGTTCTCTAAGGAGGAAGAGGAGAATGATTTTCCTGACATGAGCCAGCCACAAATATTACAGCACTTTCCTATGTAACTTGAAAGTGATTCTGACATAGCTTTTAAAAGCAGAAAGTGAATGTTGTCCTTAGGACCTGATACAGTCTCATGCACTGAGTGAAAGCTGACAAGTTAGATGGACAGAAGATTAATCCTGACTCCTGCAGGATTCTAGAGCCCTCAACTTCTTGTGGTCAGAGACTGCCATGAACTGATGTCTGACCAGAAACTGAACATGTATCTTCTGCCTATTCTTTTTTAAACAGTTCTTTTTATTGTTAAGCTGCTTTGTGTGACTGAAAAATATTTGGCCCATGTTGGGTTTCAATTCTTTCTAATGCACAGAATGATTGACAGTGTTAACTTGCTGTAAAGTGTCAATTAGAATAGAAAATGGTGGAACAACATTTTTATAATCTAAGTGCACTGAGCTGCTTGGCAATGTGGCTGCCTCAGATTTTGTATCAAATCTCTGGACAATTCTGCTGTTCACATTTGAGCTATTTGGGAAAACATGTATTTTGGCACAGGACAGTTGATTTTCTTTCCATTCAGTTATGTTACTCAGGAATGCCCTGACAGTGGATTTAAGGCAGTTTAAATTTGTTATGTTACAGGCTGTCTTTCATTCTCTTCCTAGTGGCATAGCTGCTTATAAGTTTGGGGTTTTTTCTTCAGTCTGAATGTTGTTCATCTTAAGTCCCTTGGTGCAGGGAAGAAGGTAATGAGATGTTATGTATCACATGGCCATAGCTTCTCAGAATGATTCGATATGATCGTTTCTGTTCTGCCTTTCTGTGGATGACTCAGCTCGACTCAATTCCAGTACATGATGCACCTTTATGACATACAGTGCTGGCACATGGTACTGCTATTACAAAATTAGGATGGCAATGAAAGGTAGGGAAAACTAACAGAAGCCTCCAAACCAGTGTCCAGAGAACAAAACAAAACAAAATACACCAAAAAAAAAACCCCAAACCCACCAAAAAAGAATGTACCTGAGCCGCCTTCTCTGAAAGAACTTTCTGCATCTATAGCTGTATCTTCACTGCGCCCTAGCACTCCTATGGTCAGAGTTTTTCTCCGTTCCCATGCTAAGTTGAGCACTTTTTCAGTCTGAAACTCTTGGGCCATAAGGCATCAGTATCCAGACTTCATCACTCACCAGAAAACCTCTTCTGAGTTTCCTAAGGTTGAACAGAGGAGAGATTTGCAAGCCAACCTCTAGCTTATAAACCATTAAAATATGGTAGTCAGTTTAATTGTGCAGAGCCTCTATTAGAACAAGCTCCCTGGCACTGGGGGTATTTATTCTGTGGACTTGAATGATTTTTCTGAATTTTGGTTTTGAAACTTCTCTAACAACAACAAAACAAACTGTATTTTTAAACATAGGGCAGCTTTAACTTTTGTGTTATTTTAAGTGTCCATGTTGCAATCCTGAGAATGAAGCTAAGAAATACCAGCATTTCAAGAAAACGAGTTCCTGACAGCTGCATTTAGGTCCTGGGACATGTCAAAGTGTATGGAAAGTTGACAGAGTTTCTTTGACAGCTCAGGAGTTGTGTGAAGAGTGGTAACGCAAAATATATTCATACTTTTTTCCTCCTTTTTTGCTAGATTAAGACAACTTTGAACTAGGAAAACCACCGATATCTGCAAGCGCAGAGGGCCTAATGCCATTAGAGACAGTGTAGAAGCTTTTGAATGTGGTAAAATCCTGTCACCAGTAAATTAATTTATACTTTTAGACTATAATATTATTCTGCACCTGTGGACTTTTGTGATTAGTTATCAGTGAGGTTATTCATGAGGATGCAAACAATAAGTGAACTGTCATTTTAGTGAATGTGCCTCCTATGATCATGTGTATTGTGTGTTACTAGCATTAGGGCTTGAACCATGTGCAGAACAGTGACCAAAATGATGACACACTGCCTAAAACACAACTGGTTAAGGTAAGAGGGTTTTTTCTAAAGTTACTTTATTAGTAGCCCTTTCCTCTTAAAAGATAACCACCCGATCTGTCTTAGATATAAGCTAAATTTAAAGGAAGCATGTAAATACTCATTTCTAATATGATGTAGTGGAAGTGAACACCAGTGAGGATTTGTGACATGTTTTCTGGCATATTGCAAATGAGATAAACTAACGGATGTTGTAACAACTTTCAGTTATGTTTTACAAGTCTTTCTTGGAAAGAAGAATAGCTGCTGACTGATTCAGTAGCAATAAATGAACATGTACACACTCAGAATTTAATTGCTTCTAGAATTTAAGGGTCTCTAAAGTGTTACATGTTATTCTGTGTCCAACAGGTAGAGTGTGCTAGCATTCAAAAACACACTTTTACTCAAAATCACAAGCCATACATAGAGCCTGTTGGAGAAGTTACAAAAAGGTCCATTTGCAGTTGGTTGTAAAACAAATTCCCAACTAGAAATGAGGCATCTTTGCCAGAAACCACCATGGGCCCCAAAAGTGTGTGGCATGAATGAAAGGCAGTATTTATGAATGATTCTTATACCCAGTCATCTGTCACTGACAGAAGTTGGACCTGTAGAGAAATTAAAACCTTCAATCCTGCTCAAGCTTCAAACTCAAATCCTACTCAAAACCTTGGAATTTGGAGGTATGTCCAAAAAAAACCCCTTTAACTCCCTCACACTATTATTTGAATGTAAAAATGTTGTATAGAATAAAGATGAACGTAGCAGTTAATAGTTTTACACAATAGTCAGGTAAACATCTTTTCAGTATAGCACAATCGTGAAATTGCTGCACAATACGACAAAAAAATCAGCATTATGGCAGTATAAGGATATTACTTAAATATCTTAAATATCTTAAAAACAATTTTAATGGGAATTGAAAGCTGCTATTGAAATACAAATTATTACATATTAGTCCTGATTAATACAGCATTTTCACAAAAATATCACAGACCATACAAGTTCTCATCCATCCAAGAGAATAACTGCAATAGTTGGATACAAATAAACATTGTCAGAATTGTGAAGATAGAAAATATATGTAGGCAATATTATTAATTTATTAATGTGCAATTTTGATGTCATTCAGTGCCAAAATGTATGTTTTTCTAAATAGCACTAAAACGAGGCAAATAAAGTAGTTTTCAAATGGCGACTTACTTGTCACATTACAATGTAAACCGATTTCAACATTTGGGTTTGTTTTGTGTGAAAACTGTTGCACTATTTTTGGCTGTATTTTCCAGCAGTCCACTGCATGCCATTTGTGTAAGGACTCTTTATTTAACCCTTGTGAACTGTCTCACCCATAATAACCCTGGCGTTGGAATCTAGGTTTTTGGCGAAGTATTTTGTTACCTCAGTCTTGTATCAAGTTGCTGTATTTTTCAGTTTGTTACATTGATAATGATTGTTTCACTAATTAAATAATGTAAAAAAAAAAAGAAGAAAAAGTTTGTTTACTTCAGCAGCAAATTGCATTTGGTTGTAAGCTGAAAAATGTGCAGACTGTATATGCTGTTAACAATAAAATATTCTGAAAAAGACTAGTAAAGGTATAGAAGGAACATGTGGGCTTAAAGGCAGCAAGCATGTTTTATTTGTGAATCAATGGTAATGGAGTTGAAGAGACTTTATAGTGCACAATGTGTAGCTATTTAATAGTATAAATACAACAGAATCTAAGTTTGTAACAGAAAATTGAAAAACCTTCCGAATTTGCCTTTTTTTTTTTTAAGTGGGATTTGGAAAGTCCAAAGAAGTGGAGACAAACCTATCCTGCTCTTTTCCTAAGAAATGTATTTTTGTTTGATGAAACATTGGAGCAGGTTGCTCCATCCCTGGCAGTGTTCAGGACCTGGTTGGACAGGGCTCGGAGCAACCTGCCCTAGTGGAAGCTGTCCCTGCCCATTGGCAGGTGTTTGGAACTAGACGGGCTTTAAGGTCTCTTCAACCCCAAATCATGCTGTAATTCTCCATTCAAGGCAAATAAGGTCCTTGTTATGACTGGCAAAGAAGGTGCTTTAATTTCTGCAGAAACATAATTTAATAAGCAGTTGCTTGAGAGATAAATTGTTACCTACTATGAAGGCAAGACCAAAACCAGCTCATACAAAATAGCTACTTTTAGAGCTGAAAAAGAAAGCACATATCCCCTTCCTGAAATGGACTCCTTTTCCTGTTATCCTCCAGAAACAGGAAGACTGGTTTGAGGGTTTTTTTAATTGCTTTGTAGTGCTGGAAATCACTTGGATCTGTACAGTTTTTCCCCAGGGTCATGTCCAGTGTTTCACTGTAAATATTTCATAAGGGAAGCATCGGTAAGTGTCTCTTAGATCTACCAAATGGTTCTTTGCACTGATAGCATCAGCTTAAATGCTAAAAATCTTTGGAGTTGATTTCATCCCCATAGACAACAGGATAGAAAATAAACAAAGTGAGGCATTAGGAAGGAAAGGCAACAATCGCTTCATGCCAGATTGCCTCTGTAACAATAATAATGGCAAATTACAGGGGAAAAAAAGAACTGCTTTCTGCATTTCAGTATTTCACTATAAGGGAATATGTTTTTGTGATGAAACACCAAAAGATGAGTACTGAAGAGCTCATTAAATGCTCCTGATGTCCAAGCCTTTTATTTCTAACCTGGGGAAGAAAAACCAAAATGAAATCTTTAAGAAGTTTGTTCCTACTTCAGATGCTGGGCTGTCCTGGGTAAGTGAGTGAGGGTACTGGTAAATTGCATTGGTTTTTGTTCTGAAATCAGTGATGGTTGTTGTATTTCCATAGTTGTGATCTACTACTGTGAACATTTATTGACCAAATTCTGAAATTCTCTTTGCTTAGGGGGAGTGTAAAGAAAAAAGAAGTCAAAGTTCACATGTCTCAGCAGACTTCAGATGTGAAAGTAACTCAGATAAGCATGTTAGGAAGGATGAAAACACCCATTTTGCGTCATCTAAAACACAGTTGTGCATAAGAAAATGCGGATAATAATGAATTGGAGGAAGTATCCTTTTTATTTCTGGCCTTTGTCTGTAGCCATGCTCTTACTGCCAGAAATCAGCTTTTCAGATTTAAGGAAGAGTAGATTGTGTTCCAAGTGATGACTTTCTTCTGATGGTCCCTGCTTTGGGTTTGCAAGCGTATTGTAAGCAAGTAAAAAGTAAGCAAGGTCAGAAAGCAAATCTGTTTTATTGTAGTGTACTTACAGAAAAGTCTATCCACTTCTGCAGAATAGAATAAGTAAGTAAGCAGCTAGATAAATTATTTTACATCTGATTTTTTTAATTGATAGCACTAAACAAAATGACGTTTTGAACACACAGGAACACTGCAGAACCCTGGAACCACTGGAAAGTAGTTGTAGCAAAATGGTTACCGTTGGCTTGCAATAATACAAAACTGGTTATGTGAACCTGTTTGACATGAACACAGTGAATGTATGCATTGTCTTTTAGAGGGTAACGTCATGGGGCAAAAGCAAGGAAATGCAAAGCAAGGTAAGGGGCAGCCAGCTGGTGCAGGAATGAGTAGGTGAAGATTAAAGAAAAAAAACAACAAAAATAACCTTACTTTCTTTTCAATTGCAAGATGTTCTTTGCTGCTTTCAGGTACAGCATACTCAGAAGTCCAACTAGTCCTGCCCGCATTGTTTAATAGCACGATTGTTTTCATTCTTTTGACAATTGGGAGTGGGAGGGAACAGTTTCTATTTCGCTTATCAGCCTCAAAGAGGGTTGCTGAGGAGTCTTCGATCTTCATATCATAAGGGTGAATGCAGGTGGCAAGAGTAATAGCGCATGTTTGCACAGCTACTGAGTTATGAAAGTTACTTAGCCATCAAAAACACCATTTTTGCAGCCATGTTTTTGGATCACTGTGTGAAGCTGAGCACCTTGTATGTTGTATGTGAGAGTTAATATAACCTATTGTTTTGCATTAATTGTTTTCTACAGAAGCATCACATGTACTGAACCCCTCCACAACCAGAGAGGGTTTCCTAGGTCTTAACAGCAGCACAAATAAGGAAGTTTGCATGATAGTTCAGATGTAACTGATTTATAAAGAGCTAAAAAGGTTTATTCCCCTGTGTGTATTTTCAGAAAGGGAGAGGTGATGTGGGGCACACACAGGCAGGGAGCAGAATTCACACTTGGGCTTACCCCACACTGCTAACCTTGGAATGCACTATGAGGAGCACAGGGCTCTATCAGACCTAAAGAGATCACCAAGTGGTGAGTCT